AAAAGCGGTGATGACCTCTGAAGCCTCAGTTGGAGAAGCAGGTCTCCTTGGCCCAGGACCTGACCGAGGCCCAAAGTCTACCAACACATCGAAATTGTCCTCCGACCCCAATCGGGCCTCATCTTCGGCCCACCCCCCGGTAACCCACGGCAATAGCAACCAAAACCAGCCCAACAAGGCCCCTGGACTCGAGATGTCTTCTACCTTGCAACCCACCCTTCAAACAGTGACTGGGCCCAACGGCACAGTGATGCAAATAGTGGAAGTGTCGTCGCCAGCTTCTCAACATCGCGAAAGACCCTCCCAAAGCTCCCCGTCGACGGCTTCCCGAACAAAGAAAAGCAAAAAACAAAAGGACCAGAGGACGAAGTCGCCGATTAAGCTCCCCCCCTTGAAAGCGCTGCAAATTTGGACTCCTAAGAAAGATAGGAAGACTAAATCGAAAGCAAGGATGGCAACGCTCACTCTACAGGAGATTGACGCGTGGACTACTGCAGCGAAGAGCTCGACCGGAGACTCAGGGGAGAAAGCTCCTGCCTTCCTCGCCGAGGGGCAACACCCGTCTCCTTCACCGGGAGAGGACGCTTCTTCTCCGACCACCTGAGGGGCTCCCCTCCCGCTCCTCCTTCCCTTCTCGTCTTAGTCTTTCTTTTTCCCTATGTCTATGTCTATGTCGATTGATTTACAAACTAAAATTCTCGCGTGGAATGTTGGCGGTGCAGGTGGAAGAGCCTTCCTCCGGGCTCTGAAATTGGTCATCCACACTCATCGCCCTGATATTGTTGTCCTCTTGGAGCCTCAGATTAGTGGAGCTGCGGCGAACTCGCTGTGCGATAGACTGGGCTTCCCCAAATCCATCCGGGTGGAAGCTTCGGGGCGCAGAGGCGGTATCTGGGTCTTCTGGAACCACAATGTTTCCTCGGCTGTGATGGTTTCGGCGTGTCATCAGCACATCACTCTCCAGATTGAACAGTCGAATCGCAGACCCTGGATGCTCACGGCGGTCTACGCCTCTCCCAAGTACAGTGAGCAACACCCTCTCTGGGAAACCATATTCAGGGAAAGCAGGCGCTTTGATATCCCGTGGCTGCTTACGGGGGATTTCAAGCGATCCGTGACCTAGAGGAGAGGGCCAACCCGCCTGCTAGTAATACTGCCAGAAGGTGTCGTCTCTTCAATGACAGGATCAACAAGGCTGAGCTGGTTGACCTTGGCTTCTCGGGTCCGAAATACACTTGGACCAGGGGAGATCAACCCCAAACGTACAGGGCGAGCCGGCTGGACAGAAGTCTGTGCAATGTGGCTTGGAATGAAGCCTTCCCTAATACCTCGGTTATTCATCTCCCGCGGGCGCAATCGGACCACAACCCCATCTTAACCTCGGTGGCCTCCCATAACGGATCATCCCCCAATGATCGTCCCTTCCGCTTGGAGGCTGCCTGGTTCAGTCATGAGAATTTCCAAGACTTCGTGACAACCACTTGGAACGAGCAGGTTCCCCTGCCGAATGCTCTCCTCAATCTGGCAGGGGGTCTCAGGGAATGGAACTCTACTACTTTTGGGAATATTCAGAAGAAAAAGGCCCGCTTCCTAGCTCGTATCAGGGGAGTGGAAACCAAACTTGCCGTGCTTTTCTCCCCCGGTTTGGCAAAGCTTCACTCTAAACTTGAAGCTGAGCTGGAGAGAGTGTTGGAACAAGAAGAGATATATTGGTTCCAGCGAGCTAGAGACAATTGGGTAAAGTTCGGAGAGAGGAACACTGCTTATTTTCACCTGCAGACCAATTTGAAGAGGAGGCGGAAGAAGATCGAGGCGCTGCAGGATGACAATGGTACCTGGGTGTCTGAGCCACATTCCATAGCCCAGATAGTTTTTGAGTTTGTTACTAAACTCTATCTGCAGGATGATTCGGCCTACGAAGACAGACTGCCGAAGGGCTCTTTCCCTCGGCTGAGCCAAGCTGAAATGATCACTCTGCTGCGTCCCTTCTCTGTCATGGATATCCATAGGGCAATTTTTGAAATGAAACCTTTTCAAGCCCCTGGGCCTGATGGATACCACGCAGCCTTCTATCAGCAGTTTTGGAGAGTAGTGGGTAAGGCGATGGCTGACATGGCTCTGGAATTCTTCTCGACAGGGACGCTGCCAGAGTCAGTTACTGACTCTACCTTGGTTCTGATCCCTAAAGTTGAGGTTCCTGAGAAAGTGACCCAGCTTAGACCTATCTCCCTCAATAATGTCTGCCTGAAAGCGATCACCAAGGCGATGACTAGCAGATTGAAGCCTATTATGAGGAATCTTGTCTCTCCTCGTCAGAGTAGCTTCATCCCGGGTAGACAGACTGCCGATAACATTCTGGTTGTTCAAGAAGTCTTACACTCCTTCAGAAAGAAGAGGGGGAGAAAAGGGGGGCTGGTATTCAAGATCGATTTGGAGAAGGCTTATGACAGGCTGAGATGGGATTTCCTAAGAGACACTCTCAAGGAGGTTGGACTCCCTAGCTCATGGATCAGCTGCATCATGTACTGTGTGGAACAGAATAGGATGCGGATTCTTTCGAACGGAGATCTGTCCCAACCGATATACCCGTCCCGAGGAGTTCGTCAGGGAGACCCTCTTTCCCCTTACCTTTTTGTTCTTTGTATGGAGCGTCTATCTCACAGGATTGATGAAGCTGTTCTAAACGAACAGTGGAAACCTGTGAGGCTTTCCGCGAATGGTCCCCCTCTAACCCATCTTTTCTTTGCAGATGATCTTCTATTGTTTGCAGAAGCAGAGTCGCGCCAAATTGATGTGGTCAAGCAATGTCTGGAAGACTTCTGCTATAGCTCTGGTCAAAGGGTGAATTTTCACAAGTCTATCATGTATGTGTCACCTAATTTATCTCGCAGGAAAGCTTCTATCTTGAGTCAGCGTGCCGGGATTCCCCTAAAGGCGGCGCTCGGGAGATATTTGGGTATCCAAGCTATTCAGGAGCGTGTGACGAAGGATCGATACCAGCCCCTTCTTCTGCGCATCCAAAAGCGTATGGCTCCGTGGAAGGCAAAGCGCCTTTCCTTTGCTGGCCGTCTGACCTTGGCGAAATCCGTGGCTGCCTCGCTTCCTGTGTACAACATGCAGACGGAGCTCCTTCCTAGCAGCGTATGCAAGTCCATTGATAAGCTTAGCAGAGATTTCATCTGGGGTGATGATGAAAACAAGGCCAAGATGCATCTAGTGAGTTGGGATGTGATGACCCGTCCTAAACCACTAGGGGGAGTGGGGATCAGACCGACCAGGCAAGCGAACTTGGCTCTTCTAGCCAAGAATGGATGGAGATTACTTAAAGACAAGGAGTGCCTTTGGACTCAGATTATGAGGGCGAAATATGGGCGCCAAAGACAAGGACTTGAAGTTATCCGGCCTTCTCAGGGAAGTTCCTTCACCTGGGCTAGCATTGCTAAAACTGCTAGTCTTATTAAGCAGGGATGTGCGTGGAACATTAAGAACGGGAAGAGAACTAATTTTTGGCTTGATATTTGGGTTTCGCAGGTTCCTCTTCGGGATTTGGCAATTGACAGCATCCCGATGGACTTGGAGGGGAAAAAAGTTGCTGAGATGGTTCGGGATGACGGCACGTGGAAAACGGAGCTTTTTGAGCACCTCCTACCAAGCGAGATCACTCAAAAAATATTGAGCACCATGGTTGATACGCTGTCGCAGGAGGATGATGATATCTTTTGGGCGGCGGCTGCTGATGGAAAATTCTCCACCAAGTCAGCGTATAACCTTCTTACCCAGCATTCCCAGCATCTCTCCGCCCACGACGAGAAGACTTGGAAGACTATCTGGCGCCTCCCCACCCCGGAGCGTGTTAGGAGTTTCATGTGGCTGGCGTCTTCAAACAAGCTAGCTACAAATGTGATGCGCCATTTCCGGCGAGTTGCGGATTCCCCCTGCTGTATGCGCTGCCCGGGAGTCCCCGAAACAGACCTCCATATTTTGAGAGATTGCCCGCCAGCCTTGTTCTTCTGGGCGCGCCATGTGCCCTCTGAGATGCAGCAAAGGTTCTTCAGCTCTAATCAGCAGGATTGGTTCCGGGATAATTTGATGTGCTCTACTTCTACTACCTCGGGAATGGAGTGGCCTGCCTTCTTCAGCACCGCCTCTTGGCTCCTCTGGAAGAATAGAACCACTGCGGCTTTTAAAGGAATCGGGGCGGCGCTGACCACTCACTCGCTTGAGCATTCGATCATTGCAAGGGCGAAGCTGTGGCATGACTCGTGGGTCTCTCCTTCTCCCCTGCAGAATACCAGGTCGCAGGCCGTGGAGAGAACGTTGGCTAATATTGGGTGGACTCCACCGGTGGAAGGGTGGACGACTCTGAATGTTGACGGAGCCTCGAACGGGAATCCGGGGCCAGCAGGGGCTGGTGGACTTCTTCGGGATCACACCGGGCGATGGATCAAAGGATTTGTCTCAAATGTCGGGTCGGCGTCAGCAACCCTTGCGGAACTTTGGGCCATCAACCATGGCATTGACCTCGCCTGGAAAGAGGGGTTCAGAACCTTGAAGATCGAGTCAGACTCAAAAATGGCGATCCAACTCATTGAGAACAGGCATGATCCGGTTCACCCCTATGCCACTATTTTGTCCACTATTCGGAGGAAGATTAGCAATGACTGGTTGGTCCGTATTGTTCATACGTACAGAGAAGGGAATAGAGCTGCGGACTGGCTCTCGAAGCACAGTCTCGTCTTTCCTTACGGTACGCATGAGCTTGTGGATCCTCCGGTCGGTCTAGTCTCCATTTTACGTGATGATATGATGGGTACTACTCAGGAGAGACGCATCGTCGTCCCGTCCTCTTCCTCTCTGTAACCCCTGTATCTTCTTTTTCTTGGCTCCGGCCTCCTTTCAATGCAAAAAAAAAAAAAAAAAGAGTTTGATAATAAAATTTCCAAGGATCGTTATAAAAGGAAAGTTTTGACAGCTCCTAAAGAACCGCCGACAAATAAATAGAAACAATATTTCTTTCTTTCTTTCTTTTTTATGAATTTTATGGCGCGAGGAAATGGGAAAGCTACATAAAAACAAAAAATTATTTCTCTAAGGTGTTATTGCAACGACAAACATTTTCCCATTACTTGGCTCAAAAGGATTCATACTCTTACGACTTGGAGCATCCATCATTGTTTCTCTTATCTCGTAGATCCGTCAGTTCTTGCACCAACAATTCCATATCGAAATAAGACGACCCACCTTCTTCATTAGCCATCACAGCAATTTCCTTGAGCTTCCTAGCTCTGCTCCTCATTTCTTCAGCCTCTTCACCAACCATCACTCGAGTGATCGCACTCTGTATCTCTTCCCTTCCCACGATGATTTTCCTCTCTTGTATCGACCATTCCTCAGCCCCAACTCCGACCCCAATCTTCAAAACATCAGTCACCAATTTCTCGTTCAAGAACTGCTCGGCTTGAAGCGGCCACGTCACCATCGGCACCCCTGCGCACACACCTTCCAGCGTCGAGTTCCACCCGCAGTGAGTCACGAACCCTCCAATGGCCCCGTGGTCGAGAATCAACACCTGAGGCGCCCATCCTCTGATCACCAGTCCTTTCCCGCCCTCTGTAATTCTCTCTTCAAACCCTTCCGGCAGCCATTCTTCCTTCTTCACAACCCAGATAAAGCTGATCTGCCTCGACAACAATGTCTCTAGAGCCGCGGCAATCTCGCGTAGTTGGTCCGCGTTGAAAGGTATTGGTATGCTCCCGAAGCATATGTAGATGACAGAATTGGGTTCTTTGGAGTCGAGCCATCTCAAACATGATTCGTGTCTGTCAATTGCAGCAGCAGAATCTCCCCTTTCCGCTTTGTGTTTCATGTCGTCTTTGTTGCTGAGTGACAATGGACCAATGAACCATGCCTTTCTTCCCATTTCGTGTTTGTAGTGTTCTGGGTACCCTGGCTCAAGCTCGTAGAAACTGTTCACCACAACTCCGTAGCTTGTCACCTCTGATTCCAGCATCAGGTCTCGGAGTTCTTTGACGCTCGGATCGTCATCGTTCACCTCGGGTCGAAACTCCCCGGGGATTCGCCCTCTGGTGACTCGGATTTCGTGCGGCAGGCCGGGGAGGAGAAAGGGTTCGGAATCGGATTCGACGCGTTTGTGAGGTTGGTGGCGGTTGAGGCATTCACACAAACACATGGCGAACGACCCCGTCGCGTTGAAATACAGCCTCGGAATGTCGAGTTTGCGGGCGGATTCTGAAGCCCAGTGGAAGGGGAAGTCAGCGACCAGGCAATCGGGCCGCCATTGTTGGAGGAGCTCCTCCACCGGGCGGCGGAGGAGCTCCATTGACTTGTAGAATGTGACCACCATTTCGAAGGACTCGTTCGCCCTGCTGAGGTTCTCGCAGCCTTCCGGCAGGCCGGCCTCGGCGGCGGGGAACTCGACGACGTGGGTCCGGATTTGGAGACCCAGCTGGGCGTCACGGTCGATCTTGCCGGAGAAGAGAGGGGCGTTGAGCGGAGTGGTGATGATCGTGGACTTCACGCCGTGGCGGGCAAAGAGCCTCGCCATGTCGGTGATTGGGATCATGTGGCCTTGAGCCAAGAAGGGGAGGAAGACGACATGGAGCTGCTGCTGCTGCTGATTTGGATCCATGACTAGAGATAGAAGTGAAATTCGAGTTACAGGGACAAAGGAAGATTGTATACGAATATTAAAACGAAGAAGATTGATGTATATATGGAAGAACTGAATTTCTGAACGTACGTGGAATAAAGAATGTGGCGTTATTGAGAAATTAGAATGCGGTCGTATTTGTAAAACGAAAGTGGAAGGGATAATAAATTGAAGTCGATGTAACCACGGTCTTAAATTCATGCATATGTTAAAGAAGTAACATTCTTACAACTTCAGTTTAACTACCATTTCAATTTATGTTACTTGTTAATTAGTACGCTCTACAATATGTGAAAATCTGTTATGGAGTTTTGGACATGATCACTAATGTCATCTGCTAATTTAGTCTCTAATTGGGACGAATTCCAAAAATACACATGTTTTTTTTTAAATCTCAAAATACACACGTTATAAAAAAAATTCCCCAAAAATACACATGTTTGGGCATTACCGCTGTTGTCAACCGCAGTGAATGCATTCACCGCGGCAGACCAAAGCGGTGAATGCATCACCGCGGTTGACGGCCGCGGTGAATGCCCGACTTAACTCTGAAACTTCAAACAAACGTAACTTTGCGCTCGGTTATGCGATTGTACATAATTTTTTTTATTCCATATAACTTTTCAAGATCTTTCAATCTGCAACAAGACTTCATCTAAAAAATATGTCGTTTGTTACCTCGAACGAGCAATTTTTCGATTTTGCCAAACTTTGGAAGGACATAACTTTTAACTCATCAATCCGAACGTCATAAAGTTTTTTTTTATTGCACGAAACTTTTTAAGAACTACAACTTTGACTAGGAAATAATTTTTAAAAAAAGAAGTATTTTTGGGTATACGGGATTTTGGGAATAAATTTGCCTTTACTTTTCACAAATCCACATACTTTCCAAAATTATGGTTATAATAAAAGTTGTAGTACTTCAAAAGTTATGCAAAATCAAAAAAAAATTACATGACATTCGGATTGTGGAGCACAAAGTTATGATCTTCCTAAGTTTGTCAAAATCAAAAAATTGCTCATTCGGGGTAGCAAATGATTTTTTTTTTTGGGATGAAGTCTTATTTCAGATTGAAAGATCTTGAAAAGTTACGTGGAATAAAAAAAATTCGCTACAATCGGGTAACCGAGCGCAAAGTTACGTTTGTTTGAAGTTTCAGTGTTACGTCAGGCATTCACCGCTTTGGTCTGCCGCGGCGAATGCATTAACTGCGGTTGACAACAGTGGTGATGCCCAAACATATGTATTTTGGGAAAAAAAATTATAACGTGTGTATTTTGGAAAATTTTTTTAAAAACATGTGTATTTTGAGATTTTTTCCCTCTAATTGAGTAGAGTTTCATTAAAAAAATGAAGAAACAAATTGAAGTCAATGTAACTACCACCTTAAATGCATGCTATATGTTAAAAAAATAACCTAATAAGAACTTCAGTTTACTTATGGTTTCTATTTAACATGCGGGAAATTCTTTCACGGGCATTTGGGAATAACATAAACAGAAGTTTTAGTCTCTAGTTTGAATAAAATTTTATTAGTAAAACAAAGGGACAAGTTGAAGTCAACATAACCACCGTCTTCAATTCATGTCACAACTTTCAGTTTCTTGTACTGCTTTAATAGTCTGCGCTCAAATATGAAAAAATAGAAAAAATAATTTATCAACGTTTGAGACCTGATTATTAATACATCTGTCTTACATATTTGATCATGCTCCTCATGCTAAACATAGCTTCATTTTGGTCCGTAACACGAAACTTAAACTACATTAAAAGAGCATCCCTCATCCATACGCAAATAAATCCCATAAAAGTAAAGTTGGAAAGAGCATTAGACATTAGAAAATTGAAAAATCAAAGGAATGAAATCCATAACAAGAAACCGGCCCAAGGTTACTGGCTAAGCACACACCTGAATAATCTGATTGCGCTAATCTGAAACACACTAATGTAGCTGATTATACTTTGCCCACCTAAGTTGGAAAGGGAAAAGGTAACTAGTCACCTTCACTGGTCCTTCATCGTCTCCGACAAAGCACCAGTTTCATCGCAAGACAGCACACCAATTCAGACTCTGAACAAAGACTCTCTGTGTGTTCTTTTTCGTGTAAACATAGAGAAACAAATACCAAGAAGATCCAGGCAAGTAAAGAACCAAAAACATAAACAATGTTGAGCTCAAAAGCCTACCACGTTCATTCTAACATAATCAAGCAAACAAGAGAATGTGGGAATGGTTTCCTGATGCAGCAGCTGAGATTATATAAGCCCGCACTAACTACAGTGCTCAAAGTAATTAAGCATTCCAACAAACCATGGGGCAGGAAAATACCTTGTTTGATGACGTAATGCAGGGCAGGTGGGAGAGAGTGGTGACAGCATATGCAGATCCTGAAACCCAGAAGTCCAGGATCACCACATCAGAAGACACAGCCTTGCACATTGCCATTTTGAACGGGCAAACCGAGATCGTGAGGCAGCTAGTGGAGCAGATACACGACGAACACGCTGCAGCAGTTCTGATGTTGCAGAATGTGAGGGGATCCACGGCTATCCACCTGGCAGCAGCAGTTGGCGATGCTGACATGTGTGGATCCGTGGCTTACAAGGCTCCCGCTGAGGTCATCGGGATCAGCAACGGAGAAGGTGAAACCCCTCTCTTCCTGGCAGCCATGTCTGGCAAGACATGGAATTTCTTCCTTCTCCTGGACAGACTTGAAGAGGAGAAAGCGGACGAGATTTGTCACAGAAGGTCTTGCAAAGGTGACACCATTCTTCATGCTGCCATCTCCGGTGAACACTTTGGTAATAAATGTACACACATTAAACACTTCCATATGCAAGTACATATTTAATTTTTACTGAACAAAGTTACTATACATGTAAGCAGAGTTGGCATATCATATAATACAGAAGTGGCCAGACCTTGTGAACACAAGAAGGGAAGATGGAGCTTCTCCTCTACATATTCTTGCTGGAAAGCCCAGCGCATTTAGAAGCAGTTCTCACTTTAGCCTGTGTGATCGTATCATCTACTCCTGTGAGAATTTTGAATGCTCCATGCCCACTTGCATTACTAGTTAATGAAAGGCAAATGGCACTTGCTTAAACTAGGCTAATTTCTCATTCCAGGCGCGAATGTTGATGATCTAGACCAAACAAGCGGTTCATCGGGATTGATAGATATAGGCAGGGGTCATAATTACCCAGAAAATTATGAAACATGCATGACCTTCTTCCATTGGATGAAGAAGCTATCAAGTGAGTTTGATCTTATCCCCAGACTCAACTCAAAAACTTCCATGGTAACTTAACAAAGACAAAATGATTTAGAAAAATCTTTATCATGATTAATATGCTGTTGCAGTCTCCTGTCTTGTTCGTCCAATCCATAAATGTGTGAGCCAGGAAAGCAACGTCGATGATCCTGAAAGCTTCAGAAAGGAAACAATTCAAGGTAAAAGCATATAATTTTAGTGAGAGCCACTGTCAGGCACAAACGAACTTGTTAATCAACCATGACTTTATTTCCTTGGAGATCATTTTCAGGTGCTGGGTTTGGAAGAAGAGTAAATCTCAAAGAAGTTTTCCCACCAAATTATGCAACAATAATCGATTTTTTCAAGCTCGTGTTAATGACACTGCTGCTTATTCTTGGCTTCGGTGAGTACCCTTTCTCTGTCTTTAGTGATAAATAACTTTGTCGTATATAAAAATATCCATGTTAAATGGCTTACCATCAATCGCATGCAGGACATGCAAGAGTCACTAAGATCAAAAGAATGAAATCGGCACACACATGGGCGAATATTGTCTTGAAAACATTGGTTGACAGCGCTTCACTATATAGGTACGAGAACAGTGGTCGAAAACCCACCAATGGAGACATAGACCCAGCGCAAATCCCAGAATTCCCAACTGAAGATCAGCATTCTCAGAATTCTGTGATCAACACCAATGAGCCTGAAACTGGAGGTGAAGACCAAACATTTAGTTCATCAAATTTCAGGAACATGAATTGCACTGATTATGATAATAAACAGTAAATTCACGCTAAACGCAGCTACAAAATCAACCACAACTTTCCTTTCTAGTTTCTAGCCTGATTATTATGAGCATTGCTCTGAAGTTTTCCTTCTCTCTAATGAACAGAGAAAGCCATACTAGTTGCAACGCATATGGGAATAACTGACATGGTGGACAAGTTTATGAAGGCATCCCCAGCCGTAAATCGAGAGTTAGACATGGAGAATGAAAATCTTGTCCTTGTGTCATACAAGAAGGAAAATCTACCTCATCTTGGATCAGTGAGCAAAGAAACCCCAATACTGATAGCAGCAAAGATGGGAGTCAAAGAAGTAGTGCAGAAAATACTGGAAACATTTCCTATTGCTATTCATGATCAGGACATTGATAATAAGAATGTTGTGCTCTTGGCTGTAGAGAACAAACATGTCCAAGTCTTTAAATTGCTTACGGAGAAGGTTATACTGAAGGAGAGTGTGTTTGGCCAAGTAGACAAAGATGGGAACAGCGCATTGCACCTAGCTGCAACTTTTGGAGATTCTCGACCTTGGCTTATACCAGGAGCTGGCCTGCAAATGCAGTGGGAACTCAAGTGGTACAAGGTAACTTTACATATCTATATTCTGGAGGTTGGCTTCCCGGGATTTCTGTTTCCTATAAAAGTACTTAAAAGAAAGGACTAGTTCATAGTACATTTTCTAGAGTTGGAGCACTTGCACCTTCAGGGTTATTTTTAGCCTACCCAGAACCATAACATTAGTTCAGAACCCTTAACATGATCTGGAAGGTTAAGAAGACTCTGTTAGGTCCCAGTTGAACAGAGAACATAGACCTTCCACCAATGATACGGGTCTTTGGGGTAAGAACGAAACATCAAGTTCTTCTTATGGAGAAAAAGAGCACAAGTTTTCTTCACTTCTTTCCTTGATTCATATTTGAAGTAAAGTTATACATATATAGCCGGTCAATGACTTGATACTTACTCTAACTAAAAGCAGAAGCTATTTCTAATACAATCAAAACTAAATTGTCTGCTAGAACTAGGAAAGGAAAAGCATAACAACTTTACTGCTTAGACTAGAAATCAAACGGTTAATGACTAGGTAAAGAAATCAATAAGCATGTTAAAAACTAACAATGTAACTAACATAGTATAATCAATCTTTACAAGGCCATCTAAGCACAATAAGTTTGAAATTTGCCATCTTTAAGATTTACCAGATAAACTTGAATTATGTGGCCATGTGGGGTCTCTGATAAATAACTGTCTTTTGTGCAGTTCGTTAAGCAGTCAATGCCACCCAACTTCTTTCGCCAATACAACAAGAGAAATCACACCCCGAAGCAGATCTTATTGGAAACCCACAAACAACTTGCAAAAAGTGGTAGTGAATGGCTCACCAAAACCAGCGAGTCATGCTCAGTTGTTGCTGCACTTGTAGCAACAGTTGCATTTGCAGGATCATCAACCGTCCCTGGAGGCAACAAAGAAGATACCGGTACCCCTGTTCTTGAACAGGAGCCAGCATTTAATATCTTTGCCATCACATCGTTGGTTGCCCTCTGCTTATCCGTAACATCGCTTGTAACTTTTCTTACCATCCTCACTTCCCGCTTTGACCACAAAGATTTCGCCAAGTCACTGCCTCGGAAGCTAATTTGGGGTTTAACATCACTCTTCCTTTCCATAGCTTCCATGCTGGTCTCCTTTTGTGCAGCCCATTTCTTTGTTCTGAAAGACAGCCTGAGAATGTTTTCATATCCAGTGTACGCTGCAACTTGCTTGCCAGTGACCATTTTCCTTCTTTCAACCTTCTCCCTCTACTATGATCTCATTTGTGCGATATACTCAAAGGAGCCACAACACAGTTTAAAGGAGTTTCATCCCTAGTTTTATTTGTGGTAGCAGAGAGTTTCCGGATGATCATGAGCTCCAACATGCAGTCTCAATGTAGTTTTGTGCTTTACAAACTAGTAATCATCACGGCAAGCATATGTGAAGTCCAAGGTGATCATTATATCTTGATTTCCAAAGCCTGCAACATTTTGATTATGTTACTCCTATAAGTAACATTTTGATATGTTTGGATTCGAGCAGATGGCAACCAAATGCAATCAGAGATGTAACTTGCAAACAAAAATCACCCACCACATAATTTTAACGCAAATCTCTTTTCTTGCACCCCAACCATAAATTTGGCATTTGGATAAGCTGCACTGGGGATGATCTATCACATTTGTAGGGCAAAACCCAGGAACAGCTAGTTGTGCGGCTATATAGCATCACAGACACTAAGTTTCTAGCAATATTAAGTCTGTCTTTCGGGAATCAAACACTTAAATCTAGTGGTAAGTTAGAGATGGATAGCAGAAGGGCACTAGAAAGTATGAGTATCATTTGCCTAGTAATAAAAAGGCCAACTATAACCAACAGAACATAACTCCAAAAATTGCCAACAAACTTGAATGAAATAACCAGAACAGAAGTTTCCAGTTTCCACCTATGCAGATGATCCCCTTTCATGATTCATCTACACCCTAAACCCAAAAAAGCAAAAACTGTCACGAACTGTTTCATCCACTTTTCCACTCAGGTCATGGTTATCAACTTACAACAAACAGGGAAGGAGCAATAGAGAAATTGAAAGCGACGATTAAGAGTGCATTAAGAGGACACAAAACAGTATGACTCAACGAGTAAGAACAAAGAAAAGGATAGATTATATTCTGGAAGAAAAAAAAACAGATCGCTTACCATAAACCGATCGCTGATCGCTCAAGTCCCCACCGCAAACAGTACAGAATTCAATCCACATTGCTCTTTCGAACAACAAATTACTGAATTTAGGTGGGATGAAGGAGACGACGGAAGCTAAAGCTTCTCAACCTTGCTGGCTTTTAGGATCCAATCCCTTATGGACTTGTCCGAAAATTTGGTTATGAGATTCCAAACTTTTTAGCCCATTGCTTCAATAGAACTACCTGGGCCTTCACTGGAACCATTCCTGAATCCGGAGAACCGCCAGCCATGATCGTCGGCAAGGGAAACTAGCCCGAAAGACAAAAATCTTACTACCAAAATTGAGAGCACTTGACTGACTTTTGTTTGGATACTAATTCTGTTTCTCTTTGTCTTCTTACAATTCTTCCCACCAAGTCACTAGTAATTTGTGAGATTAAATTACATTGAATTGTACTCGCTTTGTTCCGGCCGGCCGGGTAAATTTCACGCCTTATTTTGTAAATTAAGAATTTCATTATTATTTTTAAAAAATAATAAATCTTCTAGTTATATATACTTTAGCAATTTATTTTGAAACATATATTTGTGGTCTCTTCAAATAAGCGTATGAAATCATCACTAAGTAACATTTCATTGCAAACTAATAAAAAGATTCAAGCAATGATTTTTAGTCCCTGACTTAAAATATAGATATTTCTAAGTCATTTAATTACCATTTCTTACAATTCTTCCCACCAAGTCACTAGTAATTTGTGAGATTAAATTACATTGAATTGTACTATCTTTGTTCCCGGCCGGCCGGGGAAATTTCACGCCTTATTTTGTAAATTAAGAATTTCATTATTATTTTTAAAAAATAATAAATCTTCTAATTATATATACTTTAGCAATTTATTTTGAAACATATATTTGTGGTCTCTTCAAATAAGCGTATGAAATCATCACTAAGTAACATCTCATTGCAAACTAATAAAAAGATTCAAGCAATGATTTTTAGTCCCTGACTTAAAATATAGATATTTCTAAGTCATTTAATTACCATTAACGATCATTGGCCTACTACGAATTCTATTATATGCACATGACAAAAACACTTACTAACATTTATCACTTACATATATAATGGTTCAATTTTCTAATTTTTATTCATGCCTTCCAAAATGGTTTAAAAAGTCTCGCGGTACAATTTTATGTTTAGATTACCAATTATAACACAAAAAAATTACCATAGTTCACATGATAAATGAATTAATATTTGATATCAATTTCTAAGTTTCAATCACATGCATATACCAAGTGAGATGTATGTTTGTTATAAAACTAACTCACCATGGAATATTATTCATGAATCATGATTCGTGCTATAAACCAAAACAACACTTTTATATCGGGATTGTTATAAAAATTAAGTACCGGTGATTATCTCTTATGATAACTAATTTACATTTAAAAGATAAAAGACTTAGTAAAAGGGCAGAGTTTCGGCTTATACAACAGCCGGTGATTCCCCTACCGTTGCACCATGTCGACGCTCCTGTGATCTCCATCTTCATCGTCATTCTTTTTCTGTGCGCATACACAATTCCTTCCTCCTCTGTCTCTGTCGATGCTTCGTCGGGAGTCGTCATATCTATGAGATATGTTGCTTCGTCTCAACCATCTGCTTGGATATGAATTGTCATATCTCTGTAGTCCGTACACTGCTATGGCCTATGGTGGCCGCCAACTGCCCCTAGGATGGCAAAAAATTTCGCACGCCTCCACAGAGATGACTTTCAGTGCAATTGAAGGTTGAAGGAGGGAGAGTCAATGGGGGGTTTTTGGAAGAAAAAAAAAATAGAAGACAGAACTACGTCCCAATGGTGGAGGAAGAGAAAGGGAGGAGTTTTTTGCTTACAGAAGAGAAAGGAAGGAGTTGAGCACTTGGCAGTGGGTAATATCGGGATATTTACGCAGAGGGAAAATACTAAATAGAACGGAAGGGCGGAGTACGGCTGGCGGAAGGGAAAAGAGGAAGATGACGTGGATAACTTAGAATTTTAGCGTGGATTACGTGGCATAGGGCCAATTCCAAAAGTCCTTTAATATTTTTTAAAATTAAGATATAATATAATACATTATAATCTCTTCATAAAAAAAAACATTATAATCTCTAAATTTTGTTCCTTTTTTCACAAATTCTTCTCTTTAAACCTAATAGTTGTCTAATAATCATTTCTCCTAAAACTTACACTCTTATACATAATATATTGTGTCTAGTGGCATAGCTAGGATGTTGTCAAGTGTGGGTACATTTAGAAAAACAATACATACGATAAAATAGTTTTGTTAGCTTTTTAAATAATTCATGATATAATTTTGTATTTACAAAAAATTGGTAAATTAAATATCTGTCGAAACAATCAAGAATATTACTCTATAACAATTATTCATGATTTAGTTAGATATTTGCTTTTGAATGGTGTTCTTTGTCAAGAGTATTTAGTATCAATAACTTGAGTTGTTGGAAAAGATTTAATAATAGATCTTATACTATTTAGTATTTACTAACACTTCCCGCAAACGAAAACCAACTTATACATGCTTAAAGTTTTCGCAAATCCGAATACCATGTGCTTAACAAATGTAGTCGCCAAAATTCAAACAGATAATCACTCGGCCAACCATTCTCAATTAGAAGTGCCCTAAATTTCATTCTCAATTAACTATTATACTAATTTACTCATTTTCGTCCTTAGGATCCACTTGTTACACTCTCTCTACCCTTGATTGAAATAAAGTTATTTTTAAAAAAAGTTATCATTTGGTTAAAATTTATTTTAGATTTGGAATAAGTACATTTTTAATTTTGAGCATATTATATGCACCACTGTCATTTGTACATAGCTCATTATAAAGTCATTGAATATGACAATACACAACTTATAAATCATACATAAAATATTTAAAAGGTCAACCATTCTCATCTAAATACGTATTATTTTTCATACCCGATTAATAATATACCTTGTTGAGGGAATGGCTCGGCCTCGACCGCCTCATCGAGCTGCGCGTTCACAGTAACGCGCGAGCTAAACCACTCGCGACAACACGCGCGCGGACCGCCAGATCAAGAGGCACGAACGGATCGACAAAAGGAGTAGACACGCGCGAGCATTACCGCGCCACCACGACCACTGCCCCGACTGACGCCGCCAGTCTCCAACAAGAGCGGAGGCGCGATAATATCCTGTGCGTCCGAGACTCAAGAAACGACGCCGGATGGCTGACAAGGCTACTCAACCCTACTTGCAGACCTCATCATACCCTAAACTCCTGTCTTTTCCAAGTGTCTTGTCATCCCGAGTGTCCACCCACCGAGTGTTAGCCTATAAATAGAGCATTTACACCGGTGGGTGGGGGATCGATTTTTTAGCTCTCTCTCACTAGAAACTCGAACTTTCTCTCTCCTCTTCTCTCTCTCTGTACCCCGAACCCTAACCTGGGATCAAAGAAAAGAAGGTAGAAGTCTATTATCCCACACTCGCACCCCACTCACCCCCGTGTCTCACTCCTACACTCAGTTAGACACAAACAATTGGCACCCACCGTGGGGCCGCGAGTAAAGAAGATAGAATGACAGGACAAACTTCAAATACCCCTGAAGAAGCAACGCCCATCAAAGCCATGACGGACTCAAGGAGTTTCGATGAGAATAATAACCTCAATGCGGTGCTCATTGAGGAAGAAGAACCAAAGCTGACGGCCAAAGAAATGAGACAGCAAATGGCAAAACAAAATGAGGTCATAGCCGACATGCAAAGCAAGATGAATCAGATGATAATGCTCATGATGAGAGGAAACCGCGTCAACGACGCAAACGGCGTCCGCTGCACCACAACAGGCGCCGGTCGAGGAACTGGTGCAAGCTGAGCTGCAACAGCAAGCGCCAGTCGAACCACCGGCGTGGCAACACATCAAGTCGAACCACAAACAAGAGCGGACCTCAGCTTCTTGGAGCAGTACTTGTCTCCGCAGTACTGCCCTCAACCAAAAAGAATTCTTCACCAACCACTCAGCGTTGAAATCATGGCGAAACACATGAGCGGAATGCCACCCGCCCTCCCGACATACAATGGGACGACCGATCTGGAGGACCATGTCAACAC